ATCATTAAAGATTCTTTTTCTTTACAAAAGTAACCTTCAAAAAATTCATTATAAGGGCCAGCCAAATAGCTCAGCAAATTAAAGCTCCTGCAAGCCTTAATGGATCCCTGCATCTGCCATACTGGCCCCGCCCCCAGGGCGTGCTGAGAGAGCAATTGAGACTGGGCGTGGTGGCGCGCGCCTGTAATCCCAGCTCTTGGGAGGCTGGAAACAGGGGGATCACTACAAGTCCGATCTAGTAGTGAGGCCCTGAACACCCTGTAGACCCTTTTCTAAAATAAAAAATTAATTAATTAAAAATTGTTATAAATATTGGAAATAAAGACAGCTAAATATTCCTTACTTGAGCTATTAGACTGTGTAACTGTATGGAATAACTTTAACTCAGAAATAAGGTTTTACAATCAAGGGATCCAGTCTGCGCTGCCCAGCAAGGACAGGCACTAAGTCACTGGCCAATGCTCTGCGTTACTGGATCTCTAGCCTCACTCGGAAATGAGATGCAATCTCAGGGAATGAGTGCTGGGTCTTCACATTGAGCCACATTCCTACCTCATTTATTTTATTTTGCATATATTGGGGCAGAGTCTCCCTCTGTTGCTCCAGCTAAGTTTCTATTTTCCACCATCCTGCCTCAGCCTCCCCAAGTGCTAAGCTTACAGGTCAGTGCCATAAGGCCTGACTAAAAATGTTCAATTTTAGAGATGATAAATACAATCCCTTAAAGGCAGTCCTCAAATTTAAATAAAGATTGAAGGCACACTAGACAAGAACACTGCAATTTCCTTTCAGAAACAAAGGTTTTCCAAGGGGATTTCACATCATCTCTTTATAAAGTTTGAAGGGCTGATGACTACCAGGAATCAAGAAGCACAGTTGTTGTTACAGCTGTGAAATTTGGGCTAAACACAAGTAAAACACAGATAAATGTTTTGGGAAGTATTATCAACAAGGGCGCTGTGAGGGTTGCGTTGCCTCGAGACACTGTTGCTAATGCGTTACTGGATCTCTAGCCTCGCTAGGAAATGAGATGCAATCTGCGTCTTCGTGCACTAGCGCCTTGGGGAGGAAAAGAACAGCTTGCCTGAACTTCTGGTACCTAAACTAAGAAAAAGTTTTCTTAAATGTAGTGATATTCTCAAGGAAAATAACGCAAGCCAGAGCAGCACTTCATAGGCCTAACCAGCAGCAAACAGACCCGCGCGCTCCCCGCCGCCCAGGCTGTGCTTTTGCCTCGTGTAGGTATCTCACAGCCGGCCAAGCGGGCTTTCAGGTGAGAAAAATCCTAAAACTAACGGAGCAGTACTGATTGCCTACAAGAAGACATAGCGAATTAAATTACTACGTATCTACTTATAGCACACAGAGGCATGAATTAACAAAATAATTGTTTCCAATTATTAAGCATACAAAATCTTTTTTTCTAAAAATAGAGTACTTAACTTCCCCATAAGCTTCTATGTTCAAGTAATGCATTTTATCCAACGAGAAGCATGTTTCTAATGATTATTATTAAAGTAGCAAAAAATTACCAGCAACAAATGCTACTCAAACATTTTTATTAGCAGAAAATGCTATTCAAACAATTTTAGAGTTTCAAATAATTATCTCTAGTAAGGATACTTGCAATCAAACTACCCTTTACAGACACTGATTTTAAATATATAATAATACTACTATTCTCCCTGTGTAAGTAGAGGAATTGATGATCAATACGATATTATAATATTTTAAAATGGTAAAAATATATTAAATATATCATATTCTATTCAGTAAATTATTCTATCTGTCCTCTGGAACTAGAAGACATTTGGTGACAGGCTACAGTTTCTGTACCATGTATTAAGAAGCTTGGTACTGGAGTGTTTTACTTTTCTTTTTCTTTCTTTTCTTTTTCTTTTTTTTTTCCAGAACTGGTGATTGAACTCAGGCCCTTACACTTGCCAGGGAATCACTTATTCCACTGAGCCATCTCCTCCAATCCCTGGAGTATTTTTCTGGTAAAAGGATGTAATGATCTTGTGTGCTGAATAAGTTTTCTCACAGTGGTCTCCCTAGGTAATGTAACATTTAACCTAGGAAAAGAATGTGGGTACTAGCGAGATAGCTCAGCATACCAAGCCCCTACTTAGGCAAGCGCAGGGACCAGGCTTGCATACCAGCACCACATGCTGCACCAGCCCCATCCCCAAGCACACTGAGCCAGCCACCATGACCAGGGCAGTGGCACATGCCTGTAATCCCAGCGCTGGGGAGGCTGAAAACAGGGGGATCACCATGATTCCAAGATGCATAGTGAGACCCTGTACCAAATACATTTAAAAAAGAAAAAGAATGTTATTGTGGACTAAAATATCTATACAGAAGTTAGATACGGAAAGACAGCTATGTGCAGGGCATTAAGGGCATCCTGATCATCAAGAAATGTTTTGAACAGGAAGATCTAAAAAGCAAGCATTTAGACCTGTTGAGGTGTGTAACTTCCCTTCTTAAATTCTTTTTCCTTTTTTTTTTTTTTTTTGTATTTAGCACAGGGTCTCCAGGGTCTCACTACATAGATTAGACTCCTAGTGATTCTCCTGTTTTCAGTGCCCCATATGCTGGGATTACAGGTATGCACCACCACACCCTGTCTCAACTACCCTCTCGGCGCACCCCGGGAGCAGGGCAGGCATGGCAGGCTGGGGACCAGACCCGGCCACTGCGCTCTGCTTAAGCAGGTGCTTTAGTCCGCTGAGCTATCTTCCTTTCTTCAACTCTGACAGTGATAAGAACGTGCACAGTGTAGCAAACAACACAGAAGCAGGAGATGATTTTTGATAGTTTTGTGGCATACAGTTCATTTCTAAAAAGTTATAATTCCACAGAACTATCACTTTGGTTGTTTCACTGGTTTTTGGTTTCTTTTAACTATCAAAAGTTGCACCTGGCCTACATCTTCTTACATCAACTTCTCCTATGTTACTTTCATTTCCACAGGGAATACTTAGACTTAAGTAGAAATGTGCCAAAAGTGACAAAGGTTTCAGGGCACTAACTTTGAAAAATAATCCTATTATAAAACAAACAAACAGGGGCTGGTGAGATGGCTCAGTGGTCTAAAGCACCTACTTAGAACAAGCTTAGCAAAGCACAGGGACCATGGTTCAATCCCCCAGCAACACATGCCAGCCAGCCTGCCCCCTGGTGGACTGAGCTGGCCACACACACACACACACACACACACACACACAAATAAATAAATAAATAAAATTTAAAAAAATCTATTTAAAAAAACAAACAAACAAACAACTCTCTCTCTCTCTCTCTCTCTCTCTCTCTCTCTCTCTCTCTGTATATATATATAATTTTATAACAACTGGTTGGATATTTCAACTCCCTTGACTTAGCTTTTAAAGCAAAAATAAAAATAGCTTTCTACTATGATTATATCTTTCATAAACCTCACTGATTAAGTCTGAGACCTTCACTGAGAATCAAGGCAATAAGAAAGTCAATTAATTCATTATGAGTCAACTGCAGATCAAAATGTTTAAATTCAGATTTCAAGAAAAAAAAAATGTAGTAGCTACTGTGAATTGTTTTGACACAGTTTAAAAGTTACTTTTGATTCTCCTTATTTGTACGCTATGCTCCCACCAGCTATCTTTGACATTCTGTCTCTACGCGACATGCCCCATGGCTCTACGAGGGAGATCAAATTATGGAAATTCTCTGAGGCTTATTCCACATTAATGATATGACAGAGCTGGAATAATTTGTCTCTCAATTTTTGTCCATGTCTACACTTTTCTAATTATTTCTGCTTCCATATATTGAAGTTCTAGTAGAAGGGATACTACGAAAACCAATTATATAATTAACATGTTGGACATAAGCCATACTAAAATATTAATCCTCTTGGAAAATATCATATGTAAATATAGTTCCATACATAATTATACCCGGTGTAAATGAATTAAATCTAATTTAATTAGTCTTCCCAATCCCTATGCAAAACTTGATTTCTGTCATCTGTAGAGCATGATTCTCTGGAGCGAATGAGACCATCTGATTACCTCTTGAATATGGATAGAAAATAAGAGAAATCTAATTCTTACTCAGACAAAACAGACATCTAGACTCTGCATAAAACAGCGGACTCATCAGTCAACAAATCTGTCCTGAGATAATTTATTTTCTTTTAATTTTTTAAATCTTTTATGTATTTATTTGGTACAGGGTCTCGCTATGTGGCTCAGACTCATAGTGATCTTCCTGTCTCAGCCTCCCCAGTGCTGGAGTTGCAGGCGTGCACCATGTCCACTCTCTGGGGCAGCACTGTGTGCCCAGTGTTCCAGGACACGCATCATATGTGGTAGTGGGGATTGAACCTGGGTCCTTGAGCTTGCCAGACACATGCTTACACTGCCAAGCTATCTCCCCAGACTTGTCCTGAGATAATTTTATATGAGCTACATACTGATTAAGTCTGAACTATCAACTCTGCCATGATGCACCTGCCTGATCCACCCCACGCTGCTCCACAGTAGCCAAGCAGGAACCACATAAACAGGCTCTCCTGGTTCGAGCTTCCACAGAAGTTCAATCTATTTCCAAGAATTAGAAATAGTTTAAAGCCGTACCTTACACTACCAGCGAAAAGGATTTTTCATAATGTAAACAAATGAAGAGTATCCCACATCATTCCATTTCCAGGAAAAAAATATCCTGCACTCAAACTATTTAAAAGCAAAAAAGGAGGGGAGTGAAACAATTTCTGTTATAACATTCAACAGAAAATGAGTCCAAATCAAAAGACACGTGCTTCCATAAAGATACGTAAATCTCAGTGTAGCAGGAATCACCAGGTAGGATGAGAAATGAAGGAAGTCCGAACGCCAGGTTGCAGGCACAAACCCCTCGAGTCATTTTCAGGTAAATCCCAGGACGCATGCTGACTCTTCATTGTCCTCACCCACCGCCCACCCCCTGCCAAACAGACAGCCCGCTTTACTTACTAGCTACCTCCAGCGAAGCGTTGCGGCTCACGGCCTCTCCGAGGTAATTCCTTGCTACACAGACATAGACTCCCTCATCAGGCCTGCTCTTCCGGCCATGCACTATACGCAAGAAAAATAAAGATCCACTGGGCAACAGCATGCGGTGCGAGCGCGGGTCATCTTTGTCCGTCTCCACTCTCTCCCCTCCTTTGTACCATTCGATGGTGGGAGTGGGGCGGCCCTCAGCTTTGCAGTTCAGAGTTGCAGGTTCTCCTTTTGAGACGATTAGGTCGGAAGGGTGTTCAACAATGCGCGGCGGAAAATCTTCCTGACGAAGACGGGAGCCTGCGGAAGAGTTGACAACATAGCTTTACAGATGCCAAAGGAAGGGGTAAGTGCTGGTAAAGGCAACAACTTCTGACATTGCCCGTCCTACGGATAACCCACTACTGTTATGGACTACTGGACTATATTGGATTATTTGGCTGAATTCATGCACCTACAATATTTAAATGGCAATGGAATACCCATCTCTGATGAAACAAAAAAAAAGGGGGATACAAAGGAAGGGTCATTTTGTATCTGTATATACATATAGTCAGGATAGATATGCAGCTACTTTCTCTTAATTCAATGAGAAGAAGGATTTGTACTAATAGTGTTTGGACAGGCTATCATGTCTGCATCTTGTGCTATGAATAACCACTATGAAGACAAGAATATGCACTGTATTAATTGTTGAAACTGTCCTACTAATTGGTTTTGAAACCATCTCATTGCTATTTGTTTCTCAATAAAATAAAAAATAAATAAAAGTAAAGGCTTCCACGCATTATGGTATCCCTGCCCAGCGTTGGCCTGTCTTTCCTAGTCCTCTGACTCTTGACTCCTGCAGGTGTGCGCTTTGAGTGCGCCTTTCGGTGCCTGGATCTCTTGGACCCCTCCGCTTAGCCAATCCTCTCCCTTAAATGTTGCATGTACCAATCCTGTCCTCTGTCCTAATCTCTCGTCTACAATTCCTTCCGAAATCCTTTATGCCACTCATGGTGCCTGTGTTTGCAGAAGAACGTGATCAAGAACTATTAAGTTGCTTCCTGAGCATTAAAGATAACAGTACAGCTGCCTGGAAACTTCTTTTTAGTTAGAAAAATTAACACTTCAACAAAATATATGCTATATCATCAATTATTTATATTTAAATAATAGTCAAATACGATGAAATCTTTTATATTCAAATATAGTGAAATCTTCTTACCCAAACTGTTATCTCTTCCTAAATAATAAAACCATGTATGTATCTACCTACATTCCCAGTTTTTTAATCTTTTATTTATTTGGTACAGGGTCTCATATGCAGCTGAGACTTGTAGTGATCCTCCTGTCTCAGCCTCCCTAGTGCTGGGAATATAGGCAGGCGCCACCATTCCTGGTTTCAGTGGCCAGCACAGCACGCTGAGGGTTCTGGGGCCAGCACAGCATGTGGTACCTGGAATCCAACCCGGTCCATACACTTCCCAGGCAGGTGCTTAAACCATCAAGCTGTCTCCCCAGCCCTCCCACAGTCTTAATTAATGAGTTAGTTTCATTATTATTTCAGGTTTCACTCACTTCAAAGGAGAAATGTTAATTACATGAGTTTAAATTATTACCTATTATATTAAATGGAGAAAAGGAAATTGGAAGAGGACCTGCACTCTGAACCCTATGTGCCACCAAGTAAGTGAAGCGCCATACAGAAATGTCATTTATATGTTTTCTTGGTGTTCTGCTGTTTTCAATAAAACTGTAACTGAAAAGTGATTGTGTTTCATATTTTCAAATGCTCCTATCTTACCTCTGCTTTTGCCTATATGTGTAAATTTCACCAATGCAATGTAGCTGGATCTCTCTGGAGCCCCATGCCTGGCTTTCATGCAATCTCAATGAAACTAGTCCTCCTTACACTCTTGTCAGTCCTCCTTGTCCTCTACAGATGCCAAATTTCTCAATTCAGTCCACCCATCCACACCTCTACAGCCAGCTCATCCTGGTTTCTATTGCCATGCTTTCTTATGAAGGTCTGAAAAAGTCTCTACAATACTTTGCATGATTATCACTTTGAAAAGCAAACCCAGTTTGTGTCCTCTGCCGCTCACAGGTCTTTTCCACAAAGTCATTGCTCTTATGTCCTCATTAGGAGCCGCCTGTTCCTGTTCCTTCCCAACATGCTCGCCTGCCACCCTTCTGTCAGTTCCACAAACATCTTCCACCCATGGCTACTAAGGGCTGGTAGCGTAAATTGTAGCCCGTACTCACTCTCTGCCAAATCTCTGCTCTTCCTGACTGCTGCCACAAAATTAAACCCCACTTCTGTAAACCTAGTTAACACTGCCCAACTATCCGTGGAGAGACCTGTCAGAATTATATTTTAATCCTCTGCATCCAGTGCTTTATATGCTGTCTCTTTCCCAGAAGTCTGTGAAATGTGTGTCTGATTTTTCTCACAGTTGCTCTCCTATGTCTGATCAAGTGCTCAATAAATACAGTTGAATAAAAAGCGGATGAAGCTTTAACAAGAAATGCAACTGAACACAAAGAACCGAAGCGTAAGAACCATGCATTCTACAAAAGAATGCATTTATTTTATTTTATTTTATTTATTAATTTACTCATTTATTTTATTTTTATTTTTTGTGTAGGGTCTCATTGCACAGCTCAGACTCAGTAGTAATCCTCCTGATTTCTGATTCCCTAGTGCTGGGGTTACAACTGTGTGTCACCACACCCAGACTCCATCGCAGGCTCGGCATGCCCAGAGGTGGGGGCAGGGCCGGCGTTGCATGCAGTACCCAAGATCGAACCCTGACCCCTGCGCTTACCTAAACAAGCACTTAGTCCACTGAGCTATTTCACCAACACTTCTAGAAAACACTATAGAAGAGTTTACCTTTTAAATTTGTAGCCAGTCTGCATTCTAGTCCATATAAATATAAATTTAATGTGGGACTCATTTATATTAGTATTTAATTCTAATAACTATTGCAACTGATATTTCTCTTTGTGAAATGAATAGTGATAGTTAAGTCTTCTTATTTGTTTATAATTTCTATGAAGCAATGTTATAATCTAACAAATACCAAGTAATAGCTTTGTAGCGAAAAATATAGAGAAATTAGTGCATGATACACATAAATATTTTAAATAAAGCTAGACTCTTCAAAAGGGGGAGGGACAGCCAGATAGCTCAGTGGATTAAAGTGCCTAACTTAGGTAGGCACAAGGACTGGGGTTAGATACCTGTGTGCCGAGTTGCAGGGTGCACGGAGGTGATGACTGAGACTGGGCATGGTGGTTCACACTTGTAATCCCAGTGCTTGGGAGGCTGAAAACAGGAGGATCACTACAAGCCTGATCTACCTAGTGAGACACTTTAGACCCTTTATTAAATATATTGAAGAAGAAGAAGCAGAGGAAGAGGAAGAGGAAGAGGAAGAGGAAGAGGAAGAGGAAGAGGAGGAGGAGGAGGAAATTAGCCAGCAACATAGGAGAGGGGAAGATCATTTGAACTCACAGTCTGACACCAAGGGCATACTGTAGTCAAGTAAAATTTGCATTGGCTTTTGGAATGCACACCATTGTTGATACTATCAAAATTTAGAAATAAAAGCATTATAATATGTCACTGGTCTTTACTATGACTGTGCTTATGAATGAAAGCTGCTAAGGAGGACTAACTAAAGAGATATTCTATACTTACTTGAAGGGTATTCTATCTTAAATTCTAAAGTCCATCTAAAATAGGAAACAGTGCTGCACAGGTGTGGGGAACACAAAGGAAGGGCACCTAAGAGCTTGAGGAATCAGCAGGTGACTTGGGCTTTGAAGAAGGAGCCAGAGGAGGAGGAAGGGGCTGATTTCACTCCAAGACTGTAAAGGTCTATGGTATGTTTATTGGATCTGCAGGTACATTTTTACCCTTTGCATAAAGAGCATGCTAAAGTTTGGGACACATGAGCCTGAAAATATAGCTAAAATAAATTATGTGATGTGTTTTGTCCATCAGGCCTGAGTTCTGCCACTTAGCTGAAAGGAGAAGGGAAACAGGACGAAGTAGGAAGGAGACCGGAAACCGCTTAGAAATTGTAAGGAAGGGATCAGCCCGGGAGGGTCTGACCTGAAAGAGCTCACTAGTGGTGCTCTGCAGCTGGACATGGCAGGCTAAGCAGAAGGGGATTAGGAAGAACACTGCTGCACCCACCAGGCAATAAATCTGACAACTGGTACTTAGACAACCGCAGACAGAAAATCTAGAGATATTAAGTCAAAAAATCAACAGAGCCTACTCTCTGGTAATTTGGAGGATGATGGAAACAAAAATGCACAGCCTGGGGAGAAGCAGGGCGCAGGACTACACACTTCTTTTCTCTCTAGCATGTGAACAGCACTCTCCATGAAGGCAGGGAATGAGAACGAAAACTGGGGAGGGCCAGAATGGCAGAAGCAGTGTTTAGTCAGTCAGAGAGGCTGAGAGTTAGGGCTCCTCTACACAAGTTGACAGCTGCATATCCAAGTTTGATCTCAGAAAAGAAATCTCAGCTAGAACTGTGGATCAGAATAGAGCTGGAGACAAAAACCATGGGAAAGAATGAAACCGCCTAGGGAGAGGGCGCCAAGCAGTAATGGTCAATTACAGAAGCTGGAGATCCCCCAGGCTGTGCTGAAGCGTGGTGTGGCTGGGGCTCTCTGCACTCACCTGCAGCTCCACACAGCTGGACGGCAGCCAGAAAGACTTTGGGGAAGGGAAAGCCAGTCCCGCGTTTTCACCACGATGTTTATACAGCAGCATTCAGCAAAAGATTCAGCCATAAAAATGCTCTCCATAAAATTAATGGCTAAATTTTCAAAAACGCTCTGTGGGATATTCTTTCCTCAGATTGTTAATAGTATTGCCAAGAAAAAAAAAAAACAGGTTTAGTTCTCAATGGCTTGTCCTTAGCCTTTCCTAATACACATAATGATGTGCCAGAAAGCAAATCCAATAGGCAGCATTTTTCTACAAGTATTTAGCCATTGAATGCATTTTTTATTTTTACAGATATCCCACTAAACTTTGCTTCTGAGAAACATATTGACAAAGAAAACACACACTTTTATTGAACATATAATGACCTTTAAAGAAAAAAATAAGGTTAGCAGAAAAAGCTATTTGACTCTACTAGAACTAGTACCCTTCTGCATAATAAAAATGTAGGGCTAGCCAGATAGCGCAGAGGATTAAAGTGCCTGTGTAAGCAGATGCAGGGGCCAGGGGTTTGATCCTTGGCTTGCCGTGCTGGCCCCAACCCAGGGCATGCTGAGATGGCCAC